GCAATTTCAAAACAAGTTTTCAAACTGTCTGCAGCACCCTTGACTTGAAGGAATCACACATAAGAAAAGGGAAGAAAATACTACAGCGCATGCTTATTTTAATTGCCCATGGGTTTCCAGTGAAGTATGGCAACTTAAATGCATATTCCGAATTCTTGCTCCAAAGCCTTATTCTTTGTGCACTGAAAAGGAGGAAAGACAACCCCATCAATTGTTCTCTGGAGATAAAGGCACTGTTTTGTAGATTTTCCCCAGATCTGGGCCAGCATTACTAATGACCTGCCCACCCACCTGGGGTCCTCTCCAAAGTGCCCTACAGGAACTGCCCCACACCTTCAGAAGCCCAAATGCTTGACAGGAATCAGCCCCAAGAAGGTTGCCTTTTCGTGTAGCTGCTGGCCTTCAAGAACACCCAACCTGAAAGAATTCGTGCTTCTTATTTTCCTAGAGGAGCCAGAGGGTCGATACCTACAATTTTTAATCCTATATTTTAGTGAATCTGCAGCATTTTTCTGCGGAGTAAAGACAAGCTCAAGATCTCAGAGCAATCAGAAAGGTTCTTTCACACTTCGCATTAAGGCAGTTAGTTAATCAAAGTTGAATGAAAGTTTCGGGATTGTGGCCTTTTTATTTTTCTTGTTAAGACCACCAGCTGTTAGAGCACACACAAGAGCTTCGACAGTTCCATTTTTCATAGGCCCACGTTTAAATGAGATATGCAGAAAACGGAGTTTTGGCAAAGGTGCCTATGTGATCCGTTCATGGGCCTCTCCATTGTCCTAGAAGAGAACATAGTGTCTGTCCAGTCATTGACATTTTTAAGGGCTGGAAGGTGCTGTGGAATCCCGACCCTTGCACTATAACTCAAAATAGTATGCCCTCCCCCATGGGGGTCCGGAGGTTTTAAGTCGGGACTGGAGGGTGGGGCGAGCTCTGGAAGGTTTCACATCCCAGTCCCCCTGGGAAACCCAACCCCCAGAAGGCTCGCAACTTCTACCTCCCAGAATGCCCTGGAAGAACTTCTTTGCTTCTGTTTTTTAACAATTTTGCGTTTGACCGCCACGACCCACATTCTCCCGAGAGGCCTCAGAGCTGGGAAATAACAAGGGAGTTTAAACCAGAAGACAGTTTTTCAGCCCGCAGTCTGAGCTTTCCTGCGCTCCGCGGGGGTTCGCATAAGGCCGCCACGTTCACGGCTCGACAGCCGCCCCAAAACCAATCCCCCTTTTCCCATACGCCTCTCTTCTTTTCCCCCCTGGCTCAGTGGAGGCCGCGTCGCTGTAAAGGAGCTTTCAACTCTGGCCCCCACCACCTCCCAGCAAAATCCGACCCGACGGCTGTGGAGTGTGCGCCTGCGCGGGAAGAGGGCCAGAGAGTGGGGAGGGGGTGGCGGGCCCCCAGCAGGGGCTAGAAAAGGCTGGAGCGACGGGAAGCGGGGGAGGGGTCGGGCCCGGGCTGAGCCTCCTCTTTCCTCCCAGCAGGTCCCGGCTCCGGCCCTGGCTGGGCTCTCACATGTGTGCGCTAAAAACTCACTTCAAAGTCTGTTTTTCCCCGCGCAGGGACAGCCCTTCGTGCGGGCCTCTACACCCCTTCCAATCCATAGCACTGCTAAGAGATTGGAAGGTTGAGGGAGAGTACACTCGTTTAAGAGCAGTTTTCGGGTGTACAAGTACCTCCCTCCCTCGCCGCCTCCCACCCCCACCTTAAGAAAACGAATGGATCACAAAGTTTGTGGCCAACGCTACGCAGTGGCCTTCGGAGCTCACCATTGTTTGGGCTCGTATTGACCCCAGGTCCGGATTAGGCAGCGACTGATTCCTGCTTTACAGCCCCGTCAGCCTAATGAGGCCGGGAGGCGATGGGGCGCGAAGCGTCCTCGAAGCCGGGGCGACCGCCGGCTTACGGCCGCCAAGGGCCCTGTAGGTGGAGGTCAAAGGGTCAGCGGGCCAAGACCGCAAAGAGAATTGACCAGAGGAAATGAGGTCCTCCCCGCCACCCCCTCGGAGCTTTGGCTGGGACTTGCAAGAACTTGGTCTGGATAGGGAACCTGGGTGCTCCGACTTCCAGAACGCTTGGTCTCATCGCGGGGCAAATCCCGACTAGAGACTTGAGCCTTCAGAGTCAGACATCCCGAGAGAAAACCATCCAAGCTGCCAAGCAGAGAACCGCTCTTCAGGGTATGGACACGCTGGTGGCGATTCTTTGAGAAACTTAAGTGGAAAGAGGCCCTTGGACTTTTTTTCGTATGTTTGAGGGGAGGGTATTGGGGGGAGGAAAGAGAGCCAGGGGATAAGAAGACAGCAGGCAGCGAGAAGGGGGGAGGGGCAAGGAATCCTGAACACAACTTTCCTGGAAGGCTTAGTGAGCAGAGGCTGTCCCCGCTGGCTCTCAAACCCTGGAACTTGCTAAGACTGCCTACCTCGCTTAGCCTGAATCCTGATCTTTAACCTTCCAAACTGAATAAAGGCCAATTTTCTGTCTGCGTGGAAACATACACTTCCCGCTTCCCAGCCCAACAGTGGAAATCTTAAGCTAAACCACCCATTTTTGAAGGTAATGGACTTTTAACAAAGATCTTACCAGAGCAAGAATGAAATTATTGGTATATAATAATTAGAGGCCAAATGACATTCATGTTTTCCAGCTGAGCCATTTTTAGGGTTGCAAGGTTTTGTTTGTTGGTGGGGGGGATACTTATTCTTTAAAGATATTTCCTGGAAATTCAAGAGTGTAAATGTGCATGCCTAAAGTCAAATTATAGGAAGAAAATCTGAAAAGTTTTCTACTTTTCTTTGTAAAAATTGACAAGAGCAAAGGACATAGACTATGATAAATATGATGCTACATCCAAATTAGAGGAAATTGTGTATAGGGGTAAAACTTTCACATTATCTTAATATTGGTTATCATCATTGTTAATTGTCATTTTTTTTCCTCTTAGGACACAATGCTTTATTGTAAAGTTTTTGGTAAAATAATTTCAAGCTTACTCAGGAAAGATGGAACTCTTATTTTTGTCTTCTAAAGATATATTTAATATTCGTAAGGGGGGAGAAGAAGCTAGCTTCTGAGATAATCTTGCATCGAACCCATCACTCTACTCCCATTTAAGATTAGGTTTAAGTTTGGGTGGGGATAGAAAAGGAATTCATGAAGAAAACAGTGAACTGTTAAAGTTCACTGAATATTTCAGAAGAAAGACACTATTTAGACTTCAGTTTGAATATGTTTTCAACCAATCTTATGAGTGAGTATACACTTCCTGAAAATTTACTGAGCATTTAACACACTCTTTGGTTTGGAGTGAAAGAAAAATCCTGAAATAGGAATTTGATCCAGTACCCTCAATGTCAAGGTCAAGACTGGAATGTCTGGGGTAGGAGTTGTATGGTATACTGACCAGGTTACCTGCTCATCATTTGTGAAGTCATCCCAATCTCTGTTCATGGCATTCAGGCCTTTGCCTTCTCTACTGGTGGAGGAAAGTGCAAAAAAAAAACAAAAAAAAAACCCTTCTCCACAAACAAAAAAATCATACCCAAAGCAATTTGCAATTAGAAGCTATGAATAATTAACTGTCTGTTGATAAACATCAATAGATAACTTAAAATAGACTGCTTCAACTGTATCCAGGGAATCAAAATTTCTTTTAATCATCAGTTCTGAGCATTTCAATTTAAGGTTAATTTATTAAACATTTAAAAATTCAGGCACCAAATACAAAAATGTTATAACATAAATAAGATGTGCCAAGACTTTATTTCTTTAAAAATAACAATAAACAAAATTCTAGAATTCAAAATGATTATGTATAATACCAAATTGACTGCCACCAAAAAACCTAGATCATTGCCCCTTCAAGAGAAGGAGGGTATTCATTACATTTCTAAATTCTTTACAATTCCTTATCTCCACCATTCTATTTACTGCTTTGCAAACTGGTTATTCATGCAGAGATTGGGCTCTCAATATTAAACAGCCCCCTAAGTTAGTAAAAGAAGTCTTAATTCTCTACCCACTCCAACCCCCCCAAATAGTAAGCAGTTTGTTTTTCATATAACTGTAAAAACTGTTTGTCCAAATGAGTTGCTTCACTAAAGATTGAATGGATTGTTAATATTTTATTACAAAGCAAACAACCATTTTTCATTGTTATTGATTTTAATGGAAACAATGCTCTTAACATCTTTGCCTACAAACCATGAACTTTAAAAATACACATTTTGCAAATGAATTTTCTTTCCATAATATAATTTCAGAACTGCTGCAGTTATTATACCACTATAAAAAGGTTATGAATAATTGTGGAAATTATGAATTGAACTATATACAGCAAAACAAATCAGACTTTGCCTTCCCAAATTTTAAATGGACTATGGTTTATTTTTTAAGAAGCACTTTAACCATAAGTAAGCAGGCTCAACTGGCCTTACTCATCACCACTGTTTCAGACATGCTTACTTTTGAAAATATATAGATAGCTCGGTAGATGTGATAGGCAGATTAGGTAAGTCATAGATACAAACATATATAGGTATATGGGTAATCTCGCAATAGAATAGAAGGACATGCATCCTGCTGAGATGTTCATTTTTATGTAAGGTAATAAAAAAGTAAGGGACATAAAACTCATTAGGTTACCTCATGTTTATATATGTAGGGCAGGGATGATTAAATCCAGCTTCTCAGTCTTTGAAGTACAAGATTGAGATGTCATGGCCACTAACTGAATTGATCAGTAATATTTGATTTGCATGCCGAAAATTGGGGACAAGCACATTTAAACTCGCAGTTAAAGAACCATCTGAGCTAGAGATAAAGAAAGGAGGATCTTACCAGATGGAAAATGACACTGTAAATAATCCATACCACAGTAGAAAAATAATATAACAATTAAAAAAGGGATCTGAGTTATAAATACCAACAGACAAGATTCATTTGCTCGCATCTCCTCTTTTTAGGAGGCTGTTACAAAACAAGAGAAAGAAGTCAGTGGTTCAAAAATTGTAAATTTTGTTCTTTCAAAACAATAAAATTTAATGCTAAAGCAGTTATAATCAAAAGCTGTACAGAATTTGTTAGAAAACACTTATCCATAAATATTGTTCAGTTCCCGGCACTTGTAGCAATAATTAAATTACAACGATAAATATGGCATCAATGGGTATGTATTTACAAAAAAAAAAGTTATTACAAAAGGCAACTGTATACTAAATGTCACAATCTGTGTAGAGTAACATCACATCCTCATCCTGAAAAAACACTGACCAACAGTTTTGACCCCATTAGACAAAAATACATTCACAAGAGTAATGCTTTGAGAAAAAGTTCAAGACATAACAGGACTTTGGCACGGTTTAAGACTGAGAGTTTAAACAATCACCACTAAGGCGAAGAATCAGCTTAACATCACCACCACCAAGCCTTCTATAACTTCCTCTCAAAAAACAAGACAAGTGTTAAAATGAACTGAAGGAGTTTAGGGATGGGGTATGCAGACAGCATGAGAAAGGGGAGAAAAAGCAGTGAAAATATTTTTTTTTTATCTTTCAAATGCCAAAACATGTTTCCTAATCCTGAGAAAGGGCATGCCTACTTTTGGATCTTACCCAGAAACCTTCCTAGACAATTACAATGAACAAGATGTAGCCCTATATATGGCCTCTTGCCTTAAAACTCCATTTCCATTTGATTGGCCTCAGTTTTCTTTTTAAAATGCATTTGGTCCATTTTATGGTTAACAGGGTTTGTGTTTGTCCTCAGACGTACCATTCGTTAAAATTGGGAGGAAGTCCAGGGTTGTGGCTGGTGCTAGTTTGAACTGCAGAAGGGGGTTTAGTGGTATCTTTACTGTTTGCAGAAGCTATAGCGGGTGGAGTGGAAGATTCATAGCCTGAACTGGCAGCAGGGGAGGAATCTGACCCTTGAGATTCATGAACCTAAAATTAACATGTATATATTATAATGAATATAATTCCAACCGGCATTGTGCAAGTATATACAAGACCAGAATTCAAGCACAGTACGAGCAAGACCGCCCAGTGTCCCACTTAAAAGAGAAACGCTGCTGATTTTGTTGGCTTGATTTTAATTTCTATATTACCGATGTCTAGAAACCCCGGAGTTGTTCACCAACACTTTTATTCCTAATATTGGCATGTGGAAAAGGGACAAAGCGCTGTATTATTCATACTCCTTCAAAGGTGCTTTCTCCGCGGATGGAGTGGGATAAGCACTTGGTCTTTGGGGCCACATAAAATACTCCGGGCCCAGATTTCACCAAGCCCAGTTTGGTTTGGGAAAGCAGGTACAGAGAAAGGTGGCTCAGGCGCCCTAGGCGCTGCAAGGTCTCAGACAACTTCATAGAAATCAGACCTCGCTTCTGGGCACTATTGTTTTATGGAAAGCCGGAGAGCCAATGAACCACCCACCCCCGGGTTCGGCGCCGGCACTCTAGTTTCCCACTGCGGGCTGAGCCGGGAAGAGGCGACCGCCGCAACCTCAAGCCCTGGCGAGCTCGTTTAGAGCTTCCCAGTAAACAACTGATTGTTCCCCCCCCCGCCCCCCGCTGCCCCCCGCTCCCTCCTCCTCCCCACAGTGCTCTCCCCCGCCCCCTCCAGGTTCCTAAAAATGGGTTCAAGGTGTCACCGCTGGAGCAAATGGGATTTAACGTGGAGGATACAGGGTTGGCATCGCGGGCGCTTCCATTCCGCGGCCGGGTATCCGGCCTAGTGTTTATAAACCACCGACCGCTAATAAAGAGGTAATTACCTTCATGTGCTTTCGCAGGGAGCTAGGGTGCGTGTAGGACTTGTCGCACACTTTGCAGATATAGGGCTTGTCCGAGGTGTGCACGTGCATGTGCTTCTTGCGGTCGCTGCTGTTGGCAAAGCGCCTGTCACATCCTTCAAATTCACATTTGAAAGGTTTCTCACCTGCAAAAGGTAAAAATGCAAAGGGGGGGGGAATATGGTCAGAGCCTGGAGCTTCCTGGAGCGGAGCAGCGGGAGGCGAAGCGCCCCGCGATCTTCCAGGAGAGGGAGCGGCTGTAGCATCTCTTTTCCCTGGAGAAAAACGGAGAGTGCTGGTTAAGCCTACTGGTTTGGGAGTGGTGCGCGGGGTGGGGCAGGGCTGGCCCAGAACTTGCGGATCCCTTTGTTCTCGCTCAGGATAGGAAATCACCAGGCTCCTCCAAAGTTTCCCCCTAAGTTGTGGTTCCACCCTACCCAGCCCAGGGTTCCCAACGCGCAGCCACATTCTGCCACTGCCTAGTGGATGTAACCAATCCCGGGCGGCACAATGAACCGGGACGGACAATCCCATTTAGTTCCTTCTTTGTACCTGTTAATTTGCCTTTTTCAAATGCAGCGATTTTGCTAAACTCAGTATTAAAAAGCTTGGTTCGTCGTACTTAACGTTCAAAAAGAAAACTATATAAATCCAGGGACTCCAGACAGTTTACAAGATGTTCTGAGCAAGCCACGAAACTGTGATGCCTTTTCTACGTTAGCTTTCCTCCCGTAGGACTGAATTGAACCTGGAACTCCAAATAAAAATAGTTTGACAAAAGTATCAGTCATTTAATTAGGAGATGTGCCAATCACGGGTAAAAAAGAGCGGAAGTAACCGAAAGTTAGCTTTCATTAGCATTTCTATGGTTGCTTTTCCCAAATGTGTGCCGAAAGCTAAATCGCTTGTAAGCAATAGGCTCTCAACACATTCGTAGTCCCTTCCTAGTAACCCAGAAAGGGAGACAAAAAGAGGCGGCGCCAGTTTGTCCCTGGACGCGAGAAGGTTCCAATTAGTTCCAAAGACCAGAGTCGTCAGCCCGGGAAGTTAGAAGTAGGCAAAAGCGCCGCGGGGCGTGAAAGGCGGGCGAGAGATGGAGGGACACTGACAATCCTTCCTTTCCCAAAGACCCTGGAGGGGCGCCGCCCCTCTATCTGGCCATCACCCCTCTCGCTGTACATCGGCTCCATGGCACAGTGTAGCGATGAATCCCGCGTCCGCCTCCCTTTATCCTTACCTGTATGGGTCCTCTTGTGGATCTTGAGGTTCTCGGAGCGGGCAAAGATTTTTCCGCAGCCTGGGAAGGGGCATGGGAAGGGCTTCTCCCCCGTGTGCACTCGAATGTGGTTGACCAGTTTGTACTTCGCCTTGAAGGACTTGCCCTCTCGGGGACACTCCTCCCAGTAGCAGACGTGGTTGTTCTGCTCCGGGCCCCCCACATGCTCCATGGTGACATGTGTCACCAGCTCGTGCATGGTGCTGAAGGTCCGGTCGCAGCTCTTCTTGGGCCGATTTAGCTGAGCTTCGTCGACCCACTTGCACGACAGCTCCTGCTTGATGGGCTGCCGCATATAACGGAAGAAGGCGCCAGGCCCGTGGTGGGCCGCCACATTCACGCCCATGTTCATGTTCATGGGGCTGTAGTTAGGGAACTGCGCGCCGGCCGTGTAGGGGTCCGTGCGCGGGCTGGCTACCGTGCGGTACGGGTCCGCACGGCCAAACAGCTCCCCTCGCAGCCCTAGGTGTACCTGGTTGTTGTCCATGTGCCCGGTAGGCGACGGGTGCCCGGTGGTCTGCTCATGCAGCCCAGGGAAGAGCAGGTAACTTGATGGTTCGGGAATGCCAGCTGGAGCGTGCAGACCGCTCGCGGAACCAGCGAAGAGCGCGTGCTGCCCGCCACCCGAGGCAGCCTCGCCGAGCCCGGAGCTGCGCTGGCGGAACAGAAAGTCACGCGTGGAATTGAAGGCGGCGGAGGCGGCACCGCCATAGCTGGGCACCTGGCTGGTGTGGTGATGGTGGTGGTGGTGGTGGTGGTGGTGATGGCCCAGGGCGTTGGCGTAACCCGAACCCTGTGGCATGAATGCAGAACTCTGGCCAGAAGATAGATCGTGAGCCGCGGCGGGGCTCAGCTTGAAGGCAGCAGCAGCGGCTGCGGCGGCGGCGTGGGGAGAGTCCCCGAAGGGACTCAGCCCCATGCCCGCCGGCTCGCGGTTGGGCATCTCGTGGTGGCGCGGCGCGCCGAAGCTGCCCACTCCCAGCCCGGGGAACTGTGGGCCTCCGTCCAGGAGCATCGTCATGGGTGGGGGGCGTTCTGGGCACTGGCGATCCGGCTGCAATGAGCGACGGTGCGGGCAAAGGAGATCTCCGAAGTGCTGTAGTCGGAGAGGGGTGGCGGCAGTTGGACACAGCCGGGAGACCCCCAAGGCAGTACCAGGGGCTGCAACTTTCCGTCGCTGCGAGTCTCCTGCAGAAGGATAGGAGGAAGGGAAGTAGTAGAAAGAGCTGGAGGGGGGAGGAGGGGGGAGGGGAAGTGAGGAGAAAGATTCTGGGACTAGATCTGGTTTAACAAACTAACTGGCGCGCACAAAGAAAAATAAGCAAAATAACAAGTGGAGGGCGGAGTTTTCTAATCCTGTCCCAGGCACCCCTCCTCTCCCAAAGAGCACAACCGAGGGGCCAGGAGGCTCCCTCCACACGGGTCTCCGGGCTGGGCTGCGCTAAATAGCAGAGCCAGCTCACGGCCAGCGGGCAGGAGGCAGGTTCGGTCCGCACTGCTCGCTGCGCGAGTCCCAGCCTCTTCGCCTCCAGAGTAATGTCCTTGGACTGATAAAGTCAATCACTCACTCCTTTCACATAAACCGAGCTGGAGGCCGTGAGGCGCGCGCCAATGGGGAACCAGCTAGCGCCCGGTCACCTGACCCCCGGCCCTGCAGTCCATTGGCCGCCGCCACACTGATTGGCAGCGCAGAGTTTGGAACATGGCAGCCTCCTCCAAGCGACGGCCTCTGATTGGGCCATGGCCCGGCGCTTGGCAGGTGAGGTGGCTGCGGCTGGGCGCCCGCGAGTGGGCTTGGCCAGGCTTGCGCTGCTGTAGGGAACTGGAACCAGGCTCCAGCCAACTACCCGCGGGGCGGAGCCAGGCCTCTCCTCCTCTTCACTCCGTCCTGAAGCGTGCAAGCACCCCTCTCGCGCGCAGTACCCGCTTTGACCAAATGAACTCTTTGCCCCTCGAGGATTGTTCCTCCGTCGGAGCTGTACCTCACCACCCCGAGATTGTGCCTCCTCATAGGCCGCAGGGCGCCTATCCCGAGGCGCGCGCAGCAGTTCCACGCTCAAGGCCCACTAGCTGCTCCCTCCCCACACACCACTATGGGCTTTGAAGGTCTAGAGACTCCGGACTGAGGCTGGCCAGCTCGCCGTCTGTGCGCTGAGCTGCTGCTGCCTGTTCGATACCCAAACAAGGAGAAACGATTACAATTACAACTAATTCTCTTCCCTCTGAATCTAGCTTTGAGTCTTTAGTTTGTGCGTAATGGCCATATTTGCCACTCCCCCCCTCTTCCCACACGACACACCAGACAAACACGGCAAACACATATAACACAAACACACGCACACAGCCGGAAACATGCACGCAACACAGTAAACACGAACACACCACAGTAAACACACACACAACTAAACAGTAAGCACACAACCCAGTAAAACAACAAACTACACACAACAAAGTAAATACACGCATCTAACACAGCAAATGCACACACAAATGTTAAATATGCACAGAATACATTTAGCCGATGTACACAAAACATGTACACAAGAAAGAAAATACACACATTGCAAAGTCATTGCAGTTCTCAAACCACAGGACTAATTAGCTTCGAATTCTCAACATTTTCAAAAGCAAAAGTTGGGGGCCAGAATGAAGACTGTGAGGTAAAATTTTACCCCCTCGGAACAGCTAAGACTTTGCTTAGACTTTGCTTTCTTTTACTTCTACCCGGAGCAGCAAGTGGACTTCTTACCCCTTAAGAATTTAGGATCACTACCCCCTCCTGTCTGGTGCAAGGTCTTTCTGGACATAATGACCAGTTCAGACAAGGCTAGACAAGGCTATAAATCCACTCTTTTTTTTTTTTTTGTCTGGCAGGGCATTTGCAAAGAATGCAGGAGAGTGAGAGTGGAAAGAAAAGGCCGAGAAAACGATGGCTGTGATTGTCACATCCCTAACAGGGCCAAGCCCCAAAGTCTGAACCTTGAGGCTGCCTCACAGCCTGGCCGCCATCTCTCTGTAGGAAACAACATCTGATCAAGTTCAGAGGCGCTTAGAGAGACTGCCTCAAGCCGCGCTTTATAAACTGCAGCCTTTCACTTCCTGCCCCCCAATCCGCTTGGCCTGGCCAACACTTCACCTTTCTTAGCCCGTTTGCTGGGGGAGACCTTGCTGGTTGCACACGTACCATAGTCACCCCTTCTCATCAAACTCGCCCCAGTTCTCCCTCTACATCCAGAGCTCTCTCCTTAGGTTGGAAGGTGAGTTCACTGCTAACTGAAATTCTTACGTTTACCGAGAATTGGCGCTCAGCAGAGGGTTTCTTTGGGTGGGGTGAGGGAGGGGGGGTTCACAGAAGAACAAATACGCTTAAATCATGCAAATGAATTCCCTGGAGGCAGTTTTACAAAAAGGAAGAGTTGCTTTTCTTTCTTTTTCTCCTTTCTTTTCACTTCCCCCTTTATATTCTCCCTTCCTTTACCTTCCTTCACCTCCCGTCTACCCCCCCACCCCGTGAACCCTGGGACAGTGGTTGGCTTGAAAAAGTATGAATTTCTTCACAGTGTCAATCCTGAGGAGAGCGTTTCTCAAGGCTCGGGGCCGGGAGGCGGTGGCTGTCGAGTCCTAGCTGGCCCAGGGGTTTCCGGGGAGCCCTGCCTGGTATCCCGAGAACCAGGGGCCTTGCGCGTTTTGGGAGTCAGGGAGGGCAGTCAGGCGAGGAAAGAGGGGGATGAGAAAAGAGGGCGGCCCACGGAGCCCAACTTGCTCCTTTGTTGGGAGGGGTCCCGAGCGCTGTGCAGGGGGATGTTGCCGCCGCAGACCTACCGGGTGCCCAGTGTCCGTTTTGATATGGCCACATTCCGATAATTAATTGCCTCCAACACGTGCTCTGTAGTCACTGGAACAAAAAAGGCATAATTCAATTAGATCATCAACCAAGAAGTGGGGAGGGGAGATGCTTGTTAAGGGGCCGATCTGAGGCAGTTCAGCCAGGCCAAAACCCCGGGCGGGGAGCCCTTCCAGGGACAGCCCGATCCAGCCAGAGGGTGCTATCCTGAGGGGGTGTCATCGCTCCGTGGGTCGCAGCGACCCCAGATGCCCCTAAAAGGACGAGTCGGGTGGCTTTGTGAACAGTGAGGCAGAGGCAGGCCATTTAGAATTCTATTTCGGTTGGTTAGGGTGGAGATTTCCTTTGGGGGGAGGGAGAACCCTGACCCTTGAAACACGATAGAAAGCGAAATATCTCCAGATACAGCAAGTTATCACATGTGAAAACAAAGCAGCTGCCCGCAAACCACTCCCGTGAGTCAAGAATAACAATGGGAAGTTTTCCTGATTACCTGCAGCCCCCACCCGTTACTCGATTTTCGGAGGAGACCCTAGGAACAACTTCGGGGGAGAGGGGGCTTTAGGGAGCTGAATCTGAGAGCAGATTGGTGCCTGAAAGAGGAGAGCACAGAAAAGTTTTTTCCTGCACACAAGCTGGAGCAAGGCAGAAGAGCGCTCCAGTTTCTTCGTTTCTCAGGTGGGGAAAAGACTCACTGGGCTGGGCTGGGCTGGGCTGGGCAGAGCTGGGCAGAGCTGGGCAGTTTGAACCCAGGGGTTCTGGTTCTTATTTTATGCTATAACCACGCTCTCTTGGCAGCGTTGGCATACTGGGGTTTACATCTGTATTAGGCGGGGTAAATTAACCAATAAATCTGTTTTATGCGTCCCTCAGTTGTATGTGGTCTGGTCTAAATATCCACGTCTGTATGGATAGGAAATAGAATGGAATCTTTCCCTCACAGTGAGTTCAAACAGTAAATAGGAAAAAAAAAGAGATTTATTTTCATGCCCAAATCTGAAGTAATAATAAAATCAGAGAAAATGAGCACTGCCAAATAAGCAAAGCTTTTCAGCCCGAATTTTGAGATTCAGCTTGGAGAAGCCGGAGGGAAGCAGAACGTCCAAAGCGGCAGGAGGGACGGTTTCTCTGTACAATCCAGTACCCCACTCTGCATCACTTTTCTCTTCACTCCAGCCTCCGAAAAACTAAAACACATTCAGCACGTTGTGTTATCATGCAGGATTTCTTTCTAAACACATTTTCTGTGGCTGACATGAAATTATCCTAAATCGGAGACCTGGCAATTTTCTTTAAGTCCAAGGGAAACACTGCGGTCTTTTCTTCTGTTTTGTATTTAGAAAAGACTTGCAATCTAACACTTGCAACATTTTAAAGACCCTTTAAACCCAGCAAGCGGATTTCCGCTCTGCCAATGCTTCCTGATTTATTTCAATAAATGAATCTTTGAATCCAGGAAGGGAATTATTCCAAGACATTGAATTTGGTGCCCCTGCCTCCTCTTAGGGTAGCACAAAGTGTTCCTCGTTGAAACAGGTCCTTGAAACTCACCATTATTGCCATTTTTAAAAAATGATAAACCACACTTTCTTTACATAAATCCCCACCCTCTCTTCAGAGTCACAGATCCTTTTTAAAAGAAAAACTGCAAATCGCATTAAAAAATGAAAGGGGAAGAAAACTGGGAAAGGAATGCGTTTTTAACTCCTCTTTATTTTTATGCTAAGATAAAGCTCTTAATTGGTTTCAGGGGCTGAGCTGAACTCTCTCTGGAGCTCAGGGACCTTGGGACACACTCACCAACCGCTCATTTGGGCTCTAGGCTTTATCTACTACATCAGAGTTTTCACCGTAATCCTACCATTTGACAAATATTTTATAAGTTCTAAATACCTTTAAAATTCCATATAGAATAAACAAATATGTATTGTCAATCAACTTTTTTAAAAAGTCTGTTTGGGAGGGCTCAATCGGGAAAAAAGGAGACGTGTAATACTTTAAATAATTTTCCAAAAAGTCTGTTTTGCCTTTGTCCTCTGCAGTCCAAGGCATATCGCTGCCCAATGTATATGAAGTAAATAAGGTTAAATCTGGAGAAGAAAGGCAGGGGGTTGAACTAGAGTTACCAGAATCAAGTTTGGGATTATGAAGAGAGACCTGGAAACACAGGAAATTGAGTGAAACCCTAGGAGGTGGACACAGCTCAGTAGCCAGCCAAGTCTGGGTGCCAGGCTCATGGTGAGGTGTGGTCCTGGCCAGCCAGGTCCTGCTACTAGTGAGTACCTTTACTACTTTGGGAGTGCCTAGATGTTACCCTCCAGGGTCTAAAGAATACTGGCAGTGGCTCTGGGTACCAGAAGTCACAATAGAAGAGGGCTTCCCTTTCCTTTAGGACCAGAACCCCTTTTAGGTGGAGATTGCCCAGGCAAGGAGAGAGGAAGATCCAGGTAGAGAAAGAAATATGCAATCATGCATTTGATTTGTGTTTATAAGTTCTTCCCCAGTGACCCGAATAGATGGGGTAAGGAGAATGGATTTGGGGTGTGAAGCTTGCTTAACATTCTGTATCACACATTTACCCAGGACCCCAAGTTCCATCAAGCTGCAAAATGCTCCATTAGTTCTAAAATGTAAATTACTTCGGCTCCAAAACAATTG